TCATCAGAAGACATCAATCATTAAATCAGCAGCTTTTTCGACAATGGATAAACGTAAGTACAAAGTATAAGTGTTGAGCAGCAAACCCACAATTTCTTTTAAAACGTAGATAATACCATATGGTTCCTTATTCCATTAATGAACTCAAAATTCCCATCAATAATAATGAAAGGCATTTTAAATCTTATAACAAACAGACATAACTTTATTATATAACTTCTTAATGTATGAATCAAGGATAAGTTTTTTTTTTTACAAAACCTTGGTTGACAATTACGTAACATAGAAATGAATTTGGATTTTTTTGGTTAATAAAAGTATTTTGGAAACGTTATATTACACACAGTTTTCATGATTGAGCCATACACACAACCAAAATGTTGCACGTCATTCTACGTTGTGTTGCGTGCATTTAAGAAATTTGAATGATTGTATAATACAAGTTGCAGACAAGTCAAAATTACAATGCCCCTCTGAATGTAAAGAAAAGGTATTTTGTTACCTCACCATTAATGACATTTTCACAACAGCAATAAACACTTTAGCCTTGGGAAATAATTTCAATTTTCCTTTTGAAGGGACATGAAGAAAGATCAATGTTACAAACACTATAAAAGAATTTGAAAATTCATCATTCAAATTAGAACAAGAACTAAAAGGTGAATGTTGACAAATAATAGTGGATTCTCTTAACTCTTATATTGATGAACGTGTTTTGCTTAGCAAACAAGATAAATATCTACTTTAATATTTACATCTTATCAAAAAATATCCTGATATTTGTTCATTAAACGTGATAAAGGTGGAGGCATTGCGGCCAGCAATTACCTTCAAAGGGTTGAGGTCTTATTCGTAGATACAACAAAATTTATACCATTAAATAGGAGCAAGTCATCCAAATTCTTAAAAGAACTGCAAAGATTTGTAAAGCAATGGAAACTAAATAAATATATAGATATTGAAATATTTAATAGAATATACCCAACAACAGGTCAAACATCTACGGCTTATGGATTAAAAAAAACAACTCAAAAACCAGGTTACCCTATAAGACATGTTGCTTCTCCAATAGGAACAGTACATTATGATCTTTGCCAATTTTTTAACAAAATACTTAATCCTATATTAAGACTGACAGAATTTCAAGTATTAAAAAATAGTTTTGATTTAGTTAGCAATATAATTAATGTTTACCTACTACCAGGTCAATAGATAGTATCCTTAGATGTAATGGCCAGGTTTCTGAGTATTCCACATTCTTGTATTATCTCAGCAATTGAATATTATTTCCCAAAAATAGAACAACCAACAATTCCATTACATGAAATAATCCAAGTGGTAAAAAGCATCCTTTCCAATATAGAATTTTCATTCAACACAGTTATTTATCAACAGTTGACAGGTACTAATAGAAGGGTTATTAAGTTCAATATTTTCTGAACTTGTCATGCGAAGGCTAGAAGAAATAATCTTACCTATAGTAAATTGGCTATATTATAAACGGTATGTAGGTGACATATTAATCTCCGTCTATAAAAATGAAACTTTCAATGTTCTTCATACATTTAATTTGTACGACTCTATTCAATTCACTATAGACAGAGAAAGTAATAAATCAATGAACTACTTTGACATTATCATAAAAAATGAAAATGGAAAGATTGAAACAAATTGGTACAGGAAAAATAGCGCATTTTAAATTATTTCTCAAAACAACACATTCGACAAAAAATATGTATTGTGTATTGCTTAGTAGACAGCCATAAAACTAGCCCATCCCATTCACCATGAATTTAATTTAACAATAGCCCATAACATATTAATTGAAAAACTTATCTGACAACACTTATTACCAAATATATAAAAAGATAGCAATGTTACGAGATAAGAATAACAGATTACCTGATCACACAGACCCTAGGACTTCAGAGGACAACAAGAGTGTAGTTTTGTCGTATATTACAAAAATCACTAAAAAATTAACAAAAATCTAACACAAGCAGAGTTATAGTTATTAACATACCTAGAAATGTTATGAGCATTATTACTGCCATGGCCAAAAGTTAAAAATTCAAGCAGAGCGTAGTGGAACAGAGATTTTTAATTTGAATGAAGCTGTAATAACACTGTATACCGTAGCTCGAGGAAAATGGACACGGAAAATTGATCTCTACCATAAGAAATTTTAGATGCCGCTGCAGAAGTCACACAGGATTTAATAAGTATAATCTCACAATTCAAAAATTAAATATATTTCCAGTGTATATAAAAGAGCAGGATTATGAAGGTGTTTAAGTAATTGTTCACTCAAAATAATGTAACATAGCTACATAAGAATTATTGTAAAACAATGGATTGCTTGTGCTAATTTACTTGTTAATCTTTGCTCGAAACTATTGTAATTGACAAACATTATTGTTATTATTTTAGGTTTACACATTACTGGTCCACAGGTAGACCTGATTCTCAAATAACAACAGGCTTTTTGTCAAGTGTGTTAATTTCTATATAAGAATCAGAATTTAGAAAGCTACAGACATGTGGCAAGTATTTAAGATTGACTTCTGCATAAATTTTAAAAGCCTTGGAGGGATATCGAGATTTTGAAGGTTTTCTTTGACATGTTTTTCTGTAAGGCCAGTACTGGAGATAATTATTAGAAGGATGAATACTTGGTCCTGTTACCATTGATCTTTGATTTGATAAGCCAGATCACTGTACTTCCTTACTTTTTCCGAGAATGTTTTTTGCATGTTCCAGTAGGAAGGGACTACAACATCACTAAGAAGAGTAGTTTTTGGCACCTTGAGAGTTATCGCAATATCTGGCCTGTTAGTCTTGTGCATCAAAATTGTGCGATCGAAATAAATACCTTTTCATTTTCCAACACAGGTTCAGGTTTATATGTGTAGTAATGGGCATGATTATCACTAAATTTATGGTTGGTTGCAATTTGCTGGTGTACACTGGAAGCAAACTGGTTATAGCGCATTGAGTAATCAGTGCGAGGGTTGCACATCCTGAACTGATGTGATCTATATTTTCCTTCCACAAGTTACATCTGCGGCATTTATCAATGTGATATAAGGACCTTGGGATCTTTTTGAACTTGTTTTCTGTAGTTTCAGGTGGGAATAACTTCATCTTGAATGGCTAGCACGAAACCCTTAGTTTCATCATATAGATCTCCATCTGCTAGACATTTTACAGAGACTGAAAAGTCTGTGCACGGATTGAGAGGGCGTGAAAGATTTTACTGTGAATTTGTTTTTCTGACCTTGCTTTTGTTTTTCTGTTTGAAAGGTTTCTTGAAGTGTTCTGGTAAAGATGTAGGGGTAAGATCTTTATCTGATAACACAATTTCTTTCTGTATCAATGACAATTTTGATTTATTGAGGAAGTATTCTCTAATAATAGTAGTAGTAGTAGTAGTAGTAGTAGTAGTAATAATAATAATAATAATTATTATTATTATTATTAATGTTATTATATTTTTATGAATATTCTATAAAATATGTCAACAATAGAAACAATAGAGCCTCTGAGTATATGGAAACAAACAAAAAAAATGGATAAAGGATTGTTTTGTACAAGTTATGGGCAAGATACAAAGTATTAATGCTCTGTATATACATATTGGATGTATATACAAATACATGCTGATATGTTGGAGGTAATTACTTTAATTGCCAAAATTATTGTGAGGACAAACAAACTTCCCTCACCTTTAAAGGCAATACTGCATTCTTTTTCTCTAGGTCACATTGAACTTTGTAAGTTTCTCATGTGAATAATAATTTTATAATTAAGGGGTTAATATAAGGGTTTTAAAAATCCTTGGCATTACAAATTTCTTCATTCTAAGTTTCAATACAGAACATGCAAAAATTTATTTCAATTTAAGTGTACGTTGGGTAGGATTGTGGTATTTTAGATTTTAGTTTAGGGAATTGTTTCTTAGATTGTTTCAGGTTCTTAATTATTGAGTTGTTTATTTTAATTAGATTTAAAAAATTTAATAATAAATATTGTCCATTATATTAAATGAAAATATCAGTTTTTTCATGCATTACTTAAAGATATTAATCACACATTTGAAATATTGTATTCTGGTGTTTGTGCTTTGTTTCCATTTACGTTGTAAATACTGTTGTGTAAATATTGTTTTCTGTTACATTAGAGGCAGTACCTTTCAATTTGAAAAGTAGCCCTCAATCCCAAAATGGATAGCCATTCGTTCCATTGTATGTAAACAACAATTTCCTGATGAAATTTTCATCAATTAAAGTCATCAACCATCATGAAATATGAGCACTTATGCAGAACCAATGACATTAATGGTAATCCATTCGTTGATTATTCAGTTCCCGAAAGTAAATAACTAATAAAATAGTAATAATCATCATGTTTTACGCCTAACAGAATAAGCCATTGTTTTAATTACAAAATAATAGATGTTATATTTTAGAATGTAACTTATTTCAGAAAAATGGACTCTCCCAAAGAAGAAATATCATTCTAGACCAGGATATTAAATGACATTTCTTTTTTCTCATTTCTCTTTTTTTTTTTTTTTGAAATATCAAACAATTTTCATTTCCATAGATGCCAAACAAACAAGAAAGAAAATAAGCAAGCTAGCATGTGGAAATAAAGTAGGCCTTTCTTTCTTTCACTTTTCAGATCTATTCGTAACAACATGCAATTAAATATTCATATGAACACATTTATCACAGAAGTCAAACATAATAAGAGATTTTATAAACAAACATTCTACTTTACTTCTATTAACTTATGTCTTCATTTAAATAAAAGCCTAATACAATTTTCTACATCCTACTAAAATGTTCAATACAAATAAACTAGGGAAACGTAGAAATGCAGTAAAATAGTTATCTAACATGGCAATAAACATCAAAATAGAAAGAAATAGAGATCTTTAGTTGAAAGACATAGCAGGCAGAGTATACCGTGCATCAGATCAAGATGAAGAAACTCACTGGAGATAGGCAGCACTTGGCAGAATGGACGATTCCTTAAGTTCAGTGAAACATTGAAGTAGATCTACCGATGGATTCCAGCCTTTATTTTGCAGGTACAGTTGTAAAAGCATATACAGTTTCTCAGTTACATATCCCGCACCAGGAAATGGAGGGCCCATTTCCGTCTGAATTCCTTTTGCCACAATATTCTTCATTGTTTCTGCCAAATCCATTCAATAATTTTCAGCTAAACAACACTGTAACACACACCCTTACACACATTCACACACACATTTACACACAGTCTCATATAAGAAATCTGGTCATATGTAAATTAATATTCATACAAAAATACTTCTAAGATTATAATTATATACATGATTTACATTGTAAATAAATGCAGAACTATGAAGGGAAATGGCTAAGTCTGAATGATAGATTTGAAAATGTTCAAGATAATAGTTTTATTACCAAATTAAAGAAAAGTCGAAATATACTTACTAAGTATGTCTACATTAATTACCATCAAAGAATTTGAGAAAATTCTTGTTTACTCTTGGTGATTTAAATATCTTCACACAACTGAGTGTTTCTAACTATAAGCCATTCACTGACAAAACAAGTTACACTGAACAGCCAAGAGATATGGCACACATCGGAATATTTAAGTAAGTAATATAATAATCAAGTGAAAATAAATATCACTTCCGCGGTCCTCATACGCGCGTCGGCTTCGCAGCTTCCCACCATTACTTATGACTCGACTTACCACTGAGGAATTGTAGTAATTACATATAAGATATTACTCTATAACACGATGAAAAATCTACCCTTCTAGCCATGACCACAGATTAAAAGCATTCAATGTTTTTAAAAAAATCTAGATACTTTTTAAACAGTTCCCTCGTCCTTCAAGGAACAGCTGATTAAAATATCGAATTCTCTTAGTTTCACCACTCGAAGAGCGCAGGCGCAGTTTGATCGATTTGTCGCTGCGCCATGTCCGATTTCGCAATGACAATATGTTAATGGATCAGCAACTTTTGAGATCGTAGCAAAAATCTCTTTATCTTCTCATAATGTTCAAGTTCTTTCTTATGTTAATTATTTAGTATTCCTGTAGGTAGCATGTAAACGTATGTAAGGATCTTCTTGTTGGTGTCGCTAGCGAAATTCATTAAAATTGAATAAAAATTGAATTTTTGTGGCAATTGTATTGGAAAAATTTCTGATATTTGTCCCTTAACATGCTCCAATTCACGAATGTACTCCCGAGCTCGGAGAAGGAGGCGAAAAACTAGTCAGGAACCCGCGGGAACTGGGGCATGCATTCCGTAGTTTGAATGTTCGTGGTCGAACTTAGCGTTTAAAAGAGTTCTAAACAATTTGTGATGAAAAGAGTTCTAAAAATATTTATATATTTAAATTACCCTGTAAGTATATGCAGAATTACGAAGGTAAAGGCCAAGTCTGAACGATATATTTTCAAATTATCAGGGAAGTAGTTTTATAACCAAATACTATGTATTTCGTGCATTTGTGTTAACTTTGTTTCAGTGAATAATGTAATATAATATACATAATTTTTGGGACCTATCATTCTTTCTCGATACAAATAATGTGATTAGAGAGGAAGGCAGAAGCCCAGTGTGCAGAGACAGCGTCCTAACAGCGTGCGAGAAACCCAAATATTTCTCAGACGTTTCATTAGCTGCGGTGCGGATATCCAATTGGAGGTTTCATTTCGTCTTAATTTTTTTAATGAAGCCCCCGATTGGATAACTGCGACTCATCTGATCAAACGTCGATTCTACTTATATTTAAATAGGAAGAGAGGGCATGTGGAAAACTTCGCGATCTGTTTTCGCAGGCACAACTTTCGTGAAGGAAAAGCTGCGCACGCATTGCAATGGAGTTGAACGAGAAACCTACAAGTATAAACCTACAAGTAAGAAAGGGCCTCATTACCATCAGCTTTCTGGTACGTCCTCAGAGCACCTACGCAGAGGAAAAACGCGCAGGGAGATCAAACCAAAGCAGTGGTGCCAGAAACAGCACGTACTTTATCGACTTTAGTAATGGTTATGTAATAGGCCAACGATTTATACCTTAATTTATCTCCGAATTAACATATCTCAGTCGTATTTTTTTTAAAACTCATTACAAATCGTAGACCATTTGCCGAGAAAAAATAAATATTTTCAAGCAAAAATCAACACAAATTTGACTAGTATAACTTATTTTCATAGAGTTAAATCACGTTCCAACATAAAATGTAATTCACAAAAATTCAGCTGACGAATCGCGACGCGGAATGCCATTGTTGCATTCCAATCTGGTTTTCCCTGAATGCTAACATTTTTTATTTCATGAATTTCAAATATGTTTTTAAAAAGTTCTAAAAGATTAATTTGTTAACATATAACAAAATCTCAATTGTAAGAAGCAAATAAAGAAGTATGAAATAATGCACAAATTCTAACTTACTAACTTACTTACAAACACTAACTCCAACTGCCTGGAATCACCACTCATAACGTTCAGGAGGAGCAGGATATTAGGCGTGGGCGACTAAGTTTGACGCCAAATTACTAGAAAAATAATTATATTTTCCACAATTTCAACATGATCTTATGTGAAGATCTGCTTTTGACGAACAAATTTCATTAAGAAAAAAATGTATCTTCACAATTGTAGTTGTAGAAAGACGTCGAAAATGCTTAATTTTTGCAATTTTTGAAGAAATCAAAAAGAGAAGATGAAGAATCCGGTTGTGTTTATCAAGAGAGAAAGAAAGAAAGAAAGAGAGAAAAGGAGAGAGAGAAAGAGAGAGTGAGAAGAAAGAGATGTCGCGCTGATTAATATCTCTATCCCAAGTACTAGCAATGTGCAAATTTAAATACGCCGAAAATATTAATACTCAGAAATCTCTGAACCCATAAAGAAACAATGGCATGTTGAAAAGTTGATATTATTCCAATAATTCCCTCAAGCACAGGTGTTATCCCTGCAAATCTGATGTGGGGCCTCTAATATCTGTGTGTGAAAGTGGTCATATACAAACTTATGCACAAGGTAGTGATGATAGCAATGATAAGAATACCACGGAAAATTCTGTATTTTAAATTAATTTTCATGTTGTATTGTATTTTGATTGTGCTTTGATTTTGTTAATCTGCGCAATTAGTTATATGACTTTACCAAAAAATTAGAAAAATAAAGATAACAATAACAACAACAACAACAACAATAATAATAATAATAATAATAATAATAATAATATGTGAGGATAAGACGTTTATGAAGCCTAAAACAGATGAATGAAGATGACCCAAAAAAATTACGCCCAATGACTTGCCTCAATGCGTTTTACAATACCAGTTGCCTGCAATCAGTAATAGAATATTGCGCAAGTAATAAAATCCTTGCAGGGGTTCAGAAAGGATGCAGCAAGGGTTCCATGGGTTGTAGAGAGCAACTCATTATTGAGTGTCATGTCTCAGGCGGCCAAAAAGACACGTAATTTCTACACCTGCTGTTGATTATAAAATGGCTTATGATTCTACATGACTGGCTAATCTATATTTTGTTAATATACCGAGTAAACCCTACAATTGTGCATTTCTGAAATCAGTTATGAACCAATGACATACCACTGTTGTTAATACCTCAAATACGCAGAGAATTACTTCAAATACATTGCATATCAAATGTGTCATTTTACAAGGCGACAGTTTCAGTCCTTACTGGTTTAGCCTTGCAATGAAACCACTTACAACTCTCCTAGGCAAAAACGGATCAGGGTTCGAATTAAAAGACTTAGTAAAATGTAAAATAACACATCTCGCATGCATAGATGATATCAAATTGTACTACTAAACAGAACGTGGATTGGAAAAAGAGTATCGCTACTGGAATTCAACTAAGAATTGACGGCAATCCAAAGCAGGCAATAAGAATCCAAAGCAAAAGAAAAGAAAAACTCACAGGCCATGTTAAATATGAGACCTAGTCTAAAGAGACCATAACAACAATAAATATAAACGACTTCTAAAAATATATTGGAATGCAACAAAATCTAACAGTAGCCCACACACAAATCAAAGAAGAACTGAAAGTAAAGTTGGAATGTCGACTAAAGGCAATTTTGAAAACCTCTCTAAATTCAAGGAACCTCTCAGCACCGTTGCAATGCACTTACATACTCGATGGGTGTCATGATCCATATATCGAGACAAAGGAAAGATCCATTAGAGTTCAAATGACGTGTTTCAGATATCACCATCCCAGAAGCTGTCACACTGCTGAAGAAGGAAGGGGGGATTATTAGCCTCTCGAATTTGCATATCAAACAAATTAGGTCCTTGAGAAATTATTGAAGAAATAAAGCCGTGTCATCGCAACTTCACGATGTAGTCCAACATGCAGACGATAATTACACCCCTCTCAACCTCAGACATGACATGAATCTGCAACTACCATGGGACTACGAAATAAACAAATGGAAACAGAAGTCACTCAACGATGTGTACTCAACAGTAATAACCAAACAAACTGTAGACGCTGACACGTCGTACTAATGGCTCTCTGTAGAGTATTTATACGCAGAGAGTGAAGGGCTTATTGTGGTAAAACAGGATCAAATAATAGCAACAAAAAACTATCTAAAATACATAATAAAAGATCCAAGAGTAGTAAACGATGATTGTTGAATATGTGGCCAAGGTTCTGAAACAATCCAGCTTATATTAGCAGGCTGTAGTATGTTAGTACCCACTAAATAAAAAACTGAAACATGACAACGTGGGACCATTTATCAACGTCCAACGTGCCCAGATGTATGGCATCCTGCGTGATAATACACTATATTATCAGTACCAACCACAAACGGCCATAGAAAATGAGACGTACAAATTATATTGGGACCGCAGCATACTGATGTATAAAACCGTCCATCACAATTGACCAGATATCATCATCTGGAATAAGATAACCAAGAAGATCTGGTTTATAGACTTCGCTACCGTTAAGACTAATAACATCATGACAAGCTACGAGACGAAGTTGGAAAAATATAGAGAAATGGTCCACATTGTGAGGGAAGAATGGGTGACACGTGCCGAGATTATACCCATAATATTGTCACTCACTGGCATCGACAAACGTCACCATTAAGGGATTGGAGGATCTAAACATCAACAAAAATATAATGATCAACATCCAGAAACTTAAAATCATTAATACATGTTTTATGGTCATGGGTGGAAAATGTAGAAATTATGTGAAGTTTGATATGGAGAATTACAATTGTGGAATAATTTGTATAATTAATACTTGTTTCACCATTTTATGTTCATATTTTGTAACTGGTTTCATTTTGTATTTTGTAGGTGTTATCAAACCAAAAAATGTAATCATGTTTTGAATAATATATGTAGGATTGTACAATTCCAGGAAACTAAATAAAGAAAATAATAGTTCTCAAGGGCGGGAGCCTTGGGGATTATTACACATTATTCTCCCCAGATGGAGATATGGGGGGGGGGGTTCGTGGGTGGCGTTCATGGGTCGCAAGCTGCATCAAGCATTTCTTCCTCTTGTGTTTGATTCTCTGTCTACTATCATAGTGTGCCTCCCTTGGGGAACTATTATTTTTTTCAACCCCGACGCTATTAGATTTTGAGGGCTAGGGCATGACTTTAAAATTTCTTGACTCTGTTCTCTTGAACCCCCGAGATGGCAGACTGTGGCCCCGGCAGTCATCCTGGAAAGAACCATCGCTGCATGTAGGTGCAGGTCGAATCCTCTACCATCTACCCCAACACTTTCCGACGTCTTTCTTTCCTTCCTTTTAAACATAATACCAGCCCTTATGCGGAAAAGCGCGGAATCTGCCGAGGAAATAGCTAGGTAAACCATAGATATAGTTGCAGCTGCCTTGCGTGCGATGCTTTCATGCCCAGACGTAGAGGCCCTAGTAGCAAGCTTCATGCCTACTGGTAAACGTCTGAAATTG